TTCTAACAAGTTACTTATTTCGATTATAAAAACACTCGACTGTCGAGCTCACTTAAGAAGACCTTCGCAGCTGAACTACGACTAACCTTCTCCACAAAACCTATGAGTCATTTGAACGTGAAGGATAAGCTACCACTGCTGGCCTCATCAATGTGTATTTATCAACTCACCTGTTGGTATGGAGCCGCCAGGTATGTCGGCCTTATCCAGCGTTCGCTTTCCAAACGTATCACCGAACACTTACCAACATGGTTTTACAAAGGAGAAAAACGATGACCCCGAAGCTCAATCTTAGAACATCTGATCGATTACAGACACCAAGCTACACCCCAAACAAACTTCAAAGTTGTCTACAGAGTAAGAAGTAGTCTTCCTAAATGTGTACGAATCAGACTTCTTCAAACTGCAGAAGCAATGGTGATTCATTTGCTAAATCCTGAACTCTGCATACAGAAGAAGTTCGTTCAATCACTACACTTGCAATGGATTTAATGTATCTTATTACCCGACAAGTAAATTCTACCTAATCTCTCTGTTTTTGTCTGAGTCTTCATTAGTATTATTTTGTCTTCTCAATTGTAATATTTTATATTTTCAACTTTCTTGTTCTCTACCCCCACCCGATTTAATTTCTACACCTCACTATCACTGTTACTGACTTGACCATCGCCCATTTTCAGTTCTAATTTAAATGGCATTATTCTCTACCCCACCTCTACTTAGTCTCTCTCTACCTGTAATTACCTCTGTTGCTACCCTGACCTAAGTTGAAACATTTAAGTCAATTATATTAAGTCAACTAACTTACTAACTTACTTAATCTTACTTTAGTTGCTATATGATTAACCTTGTTTCGATATTAGATCATTCTTGTATTACCTGATCTATTATCTAAACTTGACAAACCTCGTGTGCACACACACAACACACACAAATAATTATACATAAATATGATTGTACAGCTATGTGAATGAATTCGACGAAAAGAGTCTCTTCACTGTATGTCTCCCCCTTTTTCATATAACTCGTCTCATTTCTTATTCCCATGTGATTCTATTTGGTTGATAACACTCATATAATTATTATTATTTTTGAATGTACATTAACCTATATTGATTTTATTCGAATGTCTAATTATCAATTTCACTCATGTATATAAATGAAGCAAGAAGGTTGTATGAGTGAGTGAGTGCCTTGATATGATTATGAGTGGCAGTAGTTTGTGCTCGAAGTGTGTGGTCATCAGTTAATATTACTGTATAACGACACTGCGTGGCAGTTAATCAAAATAAAATCTTATCTATAATGGAACAATAAGATGCGTTTAGCGTCATCCCACTTGTCCTAGTGGCATCCTTCTGGTATCCTTTCCAGTGTAACAGAGTCTTTCTCAAGTTTTAACATAGACAAAATTATCATTTTTATCAGGAATATGCTTTCAAATGACTGAATACATTCTGAGGATGAATTTCCACACAGGTTCGAAACGACTTTTACTTATTTTCATTGCCAAATTCATTTTCGCCAGTTTATTATCAATAACAACAGAATTGAATAAAGTCATTTTGATCCAATATTGAACATACATTTCAATATTTATTAATTATTGCATGGAGGATTTCATCATGAGCTGACACCAGTTAGAGATCATTGGAGCAGCTGTTTCATTCCTGTTTTGGAATCTTCAATGGTACACCCCACCTATACCTATATAAAATTTAGAACAACACATTTAAGCGAACAGATGATCAAAACCTACCAGGCTCAACTCTGATATGCCTACTTAACTGTACAAATAAAAATTCAAATATAAACCTATCGTGGTGTTTTGTCTATAGGATAATACGATGGTGAATATAAGTTGTGCATTTAGTCACAATAGTAGTAATGCTAATGATAATAATAATAATAACAATAATAATAATAATGGTTTTCATCAATAATGTGGATGAAAAAGTGAGGCAATCTGTGATAACACGAATAATGAAAAACAGCATGATTAAGCAAACAAATGTCCAGGTAGACATAGCGGTCGATAAAGGCTAGTAAAAACAAGCAATGAACCGATTAAGTAATGCTAGATTGTAAGGGAAAGAAATGAAACACGTTTATAATGAAGACAAGATTAAGGGTTGATAAGACCGGGAGAGGTTGAAAATATAAGTAAGTAAGGGGTGGTGTAGAAGTCATCAGTTGGTTACGTGTTAATGTGCCAACAAGGGAGGGATAATGGCTGTGTACGAACTTCTTTTGAATGCACAGCTTAGGTTTAATAGTTCAAATGCCTATCGCCCGCTTCAGCTGTTTGCAGTAGACAAATACGAAGTCTATAGAAAACATTCGGTGGGATACGATGAATACCTTTGAAGGCTTTCGTTTTCTCCACACTACATGACCCCTATCAATTAAATGTGACAAAATTGAGCTACGGATTGTTTTTGTCTGTCCATTGCCAAACTACCACGATGGGAGATGTTCACTAACACGTTGGTTAGCTAAGGTGTCTAGTAGTAAGCCCAACATAACTGTCACCACAGGTGCAGTTGAATTGATAAGTGAACATAAATGTGGCAAAACTATCTATGAAATGAAATCTTATCTATTATGGAGTTATAGTCTACCACGCAGTGCCCTGGTTTGATACTTATTTCAATAATACTCTTGTTCTTGCTATATTCAAATTCATTAAGGGAAATGTATGAATTTGCTGAAAAATCCTGTTGTTGGTTAGTTATCTTGACCACCTCCGTCCGTCTTCTCTATGTTCACCTGGTGTCCTATCTTCACTGCCAGCCAGCCAGCTTCTTCAGGCAGTGCGTTGGTTTTAGCCTGTGCATCTTCCAGTTTGTGTGACATTTAATATAAATCATCCAAACACATCCATCTTATTGGTCAGTGCAGCGTATTACTTACTGTATTCCCACTCACAACGCACAGTCTAACGCAAAATCCAGTCTACCACAACTGGGAATATCATCGGTAATAGTGCAGAGCCAGACTTCTTGATGTGAACTGTGATCAAGATTTGACCGGATAGTTGCAAAATAATTGAGCACCGAGTGAGAAGTAGACATTTATGAAATTATATTTGTAAAGTCTCAGCGAAATTGAAATGATTGATTCCAACGTTTCATGTGTTCGCCAGTCTGCTCCGAACTTCTTCAGGGAAATTAACAAAATAGAGGTTTATATATATTAAACAAAGGACATCTCTTGTTTTTAAAAAACTTTTTCCAATCGTATGAGTCATGAAACAGGCATCGACATGTATAATAAACAAAATCGTATGTTGAAACAATTGTGCGTCCATGATGTGGAATTGATTTCCGCGATCCACAATATTGAAACTATGGAACTATTTCCACGCATGGTTCATATTTCATCAAATCATGAACATGTGGGTGCCGCGGGTCACCGGCAAATTGGCCAAATCTCGAAAATACAGTGTGGAATCAAGCTGTAAATCAAATAAATAAATAAATAAAATGTCATCCACATACTTTGCATAAAGATTGGTTTCTGCCATTACATATGTGCATTTCTCGTTTGTTTCCAGATTTTCCATGAAAATATAAGCAAGAATATGTCCCAAACGACTCACCATTCCTACTCTAATGCATCAATCTGTCTATAAACTTCGTTAGTAAGTAACCGAATTAGATTATCGACTCTCTCTATTGAACAATTTGGAACATTCACACTTTCATCATAGGATCCCACTCCTACAGATATCTAACACCTCCATAATATATATGCTCATATCTACTGCAATCTGAAAAGTCTGTCTCACAGATTCTGAGTATATTCCATATCCCCATATTAGGAAATTAGCTCTGAGGATACTTTTCCTGTTCAAAATGATGGACAAATTCAGATCCGCCACGCCTTATAGTTTGACAAGCGATGGAGAGGTGGCTAACGACTACCATGTACAATATCCTGTCCTCCCACAGCTAAGGACTGACTAGTAAACTATGAGAACTGATACCATTTCTCTAGTAGAAATCCTCAAGTGACAACTAAGCCTAGAGAGGTTTCGCGTGCGTTTCGGATTGTGAGGGCGATTGTTACTCCCGGCTGCCCACACCGTGGAAGTTGGTCGCGTGACCGCAGAGCCCAGGGGACAACTGCTTGAGGCCGGTCACACGCGGCCTGTTTTTGTTTGTTCTCTTCTGTTTGGTGTGTCTCAGTAGCATACTTATCACTCCTGCCCTGTGACACGGCAGCAGGAGGCGCGGTCGTTGTTAATCCGGGCCACGGCCGATCCGGAATGAAATTTTGTGAATTTGTTTGAATCATGGTATTGGATTGGGTAGCTGGCTTTTGTTTAACCGCTATCCAAACAACCTTTCTGCATGGTAGGACCTCAAGAGACATAAGTCTCAGCCAGTATAGCTTGAATAGAACATTGCGGTGTTCAAGCCCGACCACCACGTCAAGGTAGCAGCTTTCGGACAACTAAGCCTACTCAATCCACCACTCTTCATCCCACAGATGAATTTCGTGCTGTTCTCATGAGAAGTCAACCCCAAGTGAAATGCAGAGCTAATTAGCTGTGAGGTCACAGATACTCGCCGATCATACCATTCACCTAGTACCATTACATATTAACACAAGTCAACACAGGTTGGAATTTACAGCGAATCGGATTGCAACACGCTGGCTCGATAGTTAACCAGCCACTACCTACCATCACTTGACAGTTTTCGCTTGGACCTCCATTGTGGTGGATACACTACAGCAAACTCTCAAACCATGACAGGAAGTGTATCCAGATCCTAAGTGTTGTCAATGGGCGTCTGACTAACGGATTGACTGGTGTCTCAGTCGGAAACCAAATCCACCCTAAAATCAATCAACATCTTCAGATAGCTGAAAGAAAACACCAACGTGAATAGTGCTCAAAATGAACCTCATCCTAAAGAGATGCACATCGTATAGGATACCCACCAAACCCCATCTCCCCACTTCAGAGTAATAAGCAGAACAAATCACAAGAACATTCGAGACACAATTGTTTTCAATCACAATAGAAAACATTCCATGATACAACACCAGTAGTAATTATCTACAAAAAAGTCTGTTCACCGACAGGGAGACAGACAGACAGACTCAGACTGTTGTAAAGCCATACGCCATTTAAAGTCACTATGTACAAATAAGGTAGGTCATCGCGAAAACACAAAAATACATCCCATTGAATATAAAAGTAGTAATGGAGCATTCACAAAAATATAACCTAACATAACAAATAACAAGGAGAACACACTGTATCTACAAAACATATCAAAGTTTTTGGGAATTAGGCAAAGATCAAATAGAACAGAGGGTCAGGCAAGGAAGGTAGCAGTTGTGTGGGGGCAGGAGGATTGACTGACTAGTTTCAACCTAGAACTTTGCACAGATGTGCACCAGTTCCAGTTTCCACTCGCCATGTCAATGTACCACACACAGGAAGTGAGAGAAAAAGAGACAGGTAACAAACAGAAATGTATGTGGGGCAAAAACAACAGTAGTCAAATCGAAAAACAATAGAAGTTGACTAGATATATTATCTATCACAAAGAGTGAATGTGGGCGAGGATTGTTGATGTACACTGGAACAAGAAGAGAAGTGAACCGGAATGGGGATCGGAGATAAAACAACAGTAGTGATTCTGGAATCACTAAAATCAACTAGGAAGACAGTCATCATCTCACATTATTACCATTATCATCGTCATCATCATTGTTATTATTATTCCGATTCTTCCTATTCGATGGACACGGTGGTGCTGTCAACATGGGTCGATTAGTCGTCATCGTCGTCAATGGAAATTGTTGATAACTTGACGCAGTTGGGATGTTTTGTAAATCTGTCACTAGTTGGACATCTTTAGCCATCACTGTAACACGTCTAGCGTGAATTGCACATCGTTGAGCCGACTCAAATAAGCTCACGAGGAATGCTTCAGCAGCTTCTTGTAAGGCCAGAAAGCATATCGCTTGCCAACGATACGTTAAGTATCTCGGACCAAGTGATGTCGCCATGATATAACGGATATATCGAGAGAATGGCAGCTTCCTATCAACAACGAAACAACAACCAACAAACAAAGAATCAAATGATGAACATATAAACAGGTAAACTGCACAGTGAACAATCAATTCATCCACTCAGTTATTAGGTGGTATATGCATATAAATATACATATAATAAGGCGGATTTAGTCGATGGCCGTCTTTTCTTCTAGTCTGTCATTCCTCAGAGTTATGCACACGTGAGACAACGAGACACACAGAGAACTCACGACGACCATCAAGTTATCAGGTAGGCTGGCTGACCATTCAGTCACCGGGATGGTGGTTCAATAGTAGAACTCTCGCCAACTACACACGTCGACTAGACCCAAATGTAGGTCGATGCACTGAGAAACTTTCTTCAATTGACTAGCAGATGGTGGGTCTGGAGTAGTCGGAAAGTAGGACAGAGTTGTTGAACAACCACACCAATCACTACCACCTAAACGGAACAGACAACACCACTAATGAAACTCCACAGTCTGGAGGAGGACTACATCCCACTCGGAATCCAAGCAATCAAACAGATATATACACGTTCATACAATTTAGAGGTGCTTCATAGATTCCATCAGTGCAGTCCCATCAATACAGACCTCCTCCTCCTCCTCCTCAAGGAATCAAACCAGTACGTAAGTCACAGTCAGTCAAAACAATCACCCATGGGAATCAAAAACTATGGGAATCGGATAACTAACAGTCTCATTCAAGCATACAAATCTGCTAACTTTAGGGAACATAAGATCTAGAGATCTTCAGACAGGCAAGTTATCATTTACATCTGCTGTATCGAAACACCTTTAGTCGTGAATACATCAGTGTTAACTTCCTCTAATACTTCAACCCTCCTCTTCACCAGCGCCTTTCAATGTGTGTCTTCCACAAAGTGTTGCACAACTTCAAAATGACGACAGTTTGTGAAAAGTTCTCACTTCCCTTCATTGGTACTTAGTGAATTACAACATGAAGTAGTAAGAAGTAGCACGACAAACACTCAGATGTTTTTACTAACTCACCTACAAAGAAATTCATCTATAGGAGAAGTAAACTCAATCACTAACTGGCATGTGTAACACGTGTCCCAGCCAGCTATCTCAATCGGTGCGGCTTCATCACCTCATCGATTGACTGATTTCGTCTTCTTATTTAATACTTTATGTCTAGCCTGAGTATGACGCATCATATAATAAAAGAGCAGCGGAGATGGAAAGGAAACACCTACAGCTAACCACAACTCGCCTCTTCTCGTCTCCCTTGTCATCAAATAGTCACAAACGAGGCACATAGTAAACTGATATGCTCAGTACACATGTCGTTTTCCCGATATCAGGTGTCACATCTACACCACTATCCTGGTGACTGAATCCTCACTGACAAATCGAACTAACCAAACTATCCAAGTGAACTAACTCTGTGATTCAAAATTCCAAAGTAACTAAAGCCATTCCCCTAACAAACAAAAATTGATAAGAACAAATAAGCAACCAGCATGAAGAAAAAAAACAACTTTCGGTCATTTTACCTGATAAGGAGATTTGTACTCCGTTGATATGATGCTATCTCTTGCAAAGCTCTGGTTCCCGGTGCGGCACGTTTCTTCGGTCGTTCTTTTTTTTCTGATTGTTATCATTATTCGTATTACTATTATGTCTTCGTGAAGCACCCACCCGTTGACTGGATCGCTCCTGTTCTGTCCCCACTAACTGTTGTTGTAGTTGTCGGCCTGAATCCCGTCTTTTCGACGGTGGTCTTGATGGCGGCGGTGGTGCTTGTGTTGATGGCTCACCTCCATCACCTCGTCTACGAGGGACAGGACGGTCACTGGGTTGTGTAGCTTCCTTATGGTTAACATACATCCAGTCAGTGCCTTGACATGCTTCATTAGTCAGAACAGAAAGCGATACAAGGTAATACAGACTAAGTCGACAGATTATAATTCGGAAACGTTCTATTCAACACGTTAACAAAATCACCTACAATTTATCAGCAATCAGAGAGAAGAGTAATTTCCATCAACTGGGAAACCTCTAGGTAGCAGTGGGAACATGTAGAGAGATAAGGTAGCTAACACTACCACACCACATGATCCCAAAACAGCCCAGTGGTAGGCAATGTCACTCACTGTAGCAACAAACGTTTGAATCACCACAGGAATTCAATTTTCTTCAAGTCTGTCTGTCTGTCTGTTTTCGACATAGAACTTTGCACAAATGTGCGGAAGTTCAAGTCGCCACATTCCGTGTAGCACGCGAAGCAAGAGAAGAAAGTACAAGAAAAGCATAATAGAAACAGTGAGCAGAGGTGTGAGACAAAGGAGTAATAAAGAAATACAAAACAGTTTCATTGAAGATCATAAGTCACAGGGAGTGGATGCATCTGCGCCACTGAGAACGATTTTGAGCCATGTCACCAATTGTTTCCAACCATAGATTTTTACCGTCCCGAGGACCCCAGCCTGGAAGTCTACACCTTCCTACGTGGCTTAGACCAACTGTTGTGGATTTCATTGACTGATGCCAAGTTTTTGTTTGACCGCCGCTAGCTTTTTTCCAGCCTGACCCTATATCCGCTAACATTGCTCGTCGAGGGAGGCGATGACTTGGCATACGTAACACATGTCCTAACCATCTCAGTCGATGTAGCTTCACGACTTCGTCGATTGATTTCCCCTGTTTACCTAGAACTCGACGCCTAACCTCCATGTTGCTCACCTTATTATGCCACTTTACACGGGAAATAGAACGCAGGCACCTATGATCAAAGACAGCTAGTCTTTTCATGTCTTCCACTCTCAGTGGCCAGGTCTCACAACCATAAAGGAGGACGGAGCGGACTGATGAGCAGTACACCCGCCCTTTGGTCGATAGTCGAACATCTCGTCTACGCCAGAGTCGGCGTAAACTAACAAATGCGAAACGAGCCCCTTGTATTCGTGCTGAGATTTCGTCAGAGATCAGCCCGTTGGGGCTGATGGTACTTCCCAAATAAGTGAAGCGGTCAACGTGCTCTACCACTTCACTTCCTATTTTTAAACTAGGCGTCGATGTAGTCCAGTCCTGTAACATCATCTTGCATTTGGCGGGAGCGAATCGCATGCCAAACATTCGTAGATTGCTGTTCAAGGTGTTTAGAAGACTCTGCATTTTGTCAGCGTCTTCGCCTAGAAGGACTATATCGTCTGCATATTCCAAGTCAACGAGATTATTCCCAGGTAGCAAGTCAATCCCTGAGTCGCTGAAGTCACCTAGGGTTAAGTCCATTAACACATCTATGATGAAGTTGAATAGAAAAGGAGATAATGGGCATCCTTGACGGACACCACTGGTCGTCATCAGTTCAGATGACAGCTCGCCGTAAGCCCTCACCTGGCTGTATGAGTACGAATAGAGTGCCTTAATCAGTGCAATATATTTTCTTGGAATTCCCTTTACAGCCAAGCATCTCCAGAGAACTTCCCGATCGACAGAGTCGAATGCTGCCTTTAGGTCAAGAAATATAATGACTGTTGGACGCCGGTAGGAATGCCTATGTTCTAGAATCTGTCGGAGGGTGAAGATATGATCAATACACCCTCTTCCTGGTCTAAAGCCTGCCTGGCTCTCTCGTGTTTGTGCTTCCCGAGCACCACTCAGTCTACGCATGATTATTGAGCCTAAGACTTTAGATACTATATTAGTCAAGCTAATCCCTCTGTGATTATCACAGGAAGACTTGTCTCCCTTCTTGTATATGGGGATAATCAGTGACTTACACCAACCCGATGGGACTTCTTCTGATTCCCAGACGCTGCCTAGTACCTCAGTTAATCCGGACAGTAAGCTGTCTCCACCGTACTTAAATACCTCTGGAGTCATTCCATCAGGTCCCGCTGCTTTGCCTAGTTTCAGATTGGTGACAGCTTTAGTAACCTCAGTTAGTGACGGAGGACCTGTGTCTATATCCCATTCAGGGAGGTGTTGGATGCTCGGAAGGTTGAGCGTGGCTGTGGGCAAATTAAACTGCTCCTCATAATGCTCTTTCCAACGATCCAGTCGTCTATCCTGGAGCTAATTATAGTGCCATTTTTTTCCGAGATTGTCTCACTAATGATTTGTCTTCTCCCACCCGTTTCCCTGATGAGTCCAAAGAGTTGCCTGGTGTTGCCTATCCTCGAAGCTTTCTCCATCTCTTTGGCTTTTGTCGCCCACCACTGTTCACGGTCCTTGCGGAGACTTTTCGTAAGTTTCCTCTTGTGCAGCTTTCGCTCCTCATTGAATTCGGAGCTCGCCGGAATAAGTCTTCTAGCATCTATCAGTTCGGATGAGGCGGTGGAGATCCAGTGGTTTTTACTCACCTTTGGGTTTACCTTATTCACAGCTTTTACAGCTGTATCTATGGCTGCCTGGATATTTTTCCAAGCTTCTTCAGGGTGAGCACAGCTGTCGAACACAGATATGTGTTTAGCTAGTTCTTCCTCAAATACGGATTTAGTTTCCTGATCGAGCTGGGGACGTGATGGTTTTACCGCCAGCTGTTTCCTACGTCCGTTCAGTCGTAAGCACACCCGAGCGCGGACCAGTGCATGGTCGGTATCTACGCACGTGTTCCAGAAGGAGCGACAATCTCCTACCGACCCACGCCAACGATAGCTTATTGCTATGTGGTCTATTTGTGTCCAGCGTTGGTTTGATGAAGGGGGTCTCCAAGTCAAACAGTGTCTCTCCTTGTGTTTAAAGTTAGTGCTTACAAGAAACAAATGATTATCAGAGCAGAACTGTAGGAGACGGTCACCGTTGTCGGTTCGCTGGCACGGAACTCCATAGGTGCCACCGACATCCTTCTCAGATTGACACAATTTCCCTACTTGAGCGTTAAAGTCACCAGCTAGAACGACTATGTCTGAGCGTTTAGCCTTTCCACCAAACTAGACAGCTTTTGGTAGAACTCATCCTTCGTTTCATCTGAACTGCAGTCAGTGGGGGCGTAGGCGG